CGTGTTGCCAAGGACATTGTCCGACGTTGTTATAGTTCATATTACTCAGGGGAGGTAATGAAACAGTGCTAGGAAAGCTCCACGTGATGTTAAGGTTAACCTAAAGTTGTCTAAGATAAAACCACTTCACGCCGAATGGCTTGTAAAAGTTAACACTGAAATGCAGGACCGGGGTAGATTGATAAAAAAGGTTTCCATAAAGCTAGAAATCTAGAATGCTTTAAGCATGGACTATTTCTTGCACGAAAACCCATTTGATGAAGATGATATGTGATATTAGACACTGATCATGTAGTACACATATTATAACATTTTTACTGCTTAACGACTGCTTTTCTTACTTACTGTATACAAAATGGATTTAAAAATCATTTGCCGAAATAGAAAACGTCAAAAAAAAGGAAAAAAATTCGGATTTTTGATGGTTTTGAATGCCTTCTAGCGTTCATATTAATGTCCGTTCACAATTATGTCCGTTCATTTAATGTCCGTCCAAATAAGGTCCGATAAGGTAGTTTGAAATCTGATCATTTTGTTTTCCAAATTATGACATATGATATGGTTAAGATGCTTTCCATTCCCTGAAGAGTTGTCGGCGAAAAATTGTTTTGATCACGTGACATGACCATATATGGAAATATGTCAAATTTCTCGTTTGGTTTAGGGTTTATTACTCAGCATGGCACACGCTTGAGTTTGGGATTGGGTTACGGTTGGGGTCAGAATAAAGGGGTTTTGAATTATTTGTCAAAGCCATCTAGAGAACGTGTTCAACTTAGTCACGTGATAGTTCAGTGTAGAGTGATGTATCATCACTTTTACGTATATTTATTAACGTAATACTTTTTTGGCCGACTGAGTAAGTTTACTTTATCTTTGTGATACAAGCAAATTTTAATAAAAACAGCCAAATAGTTAAGGTTTCTCAAAATAATTTCTCTGCTGCTAAAATTGTCAGTGATGACAGTTGAAAACCTAAAACTTTGAGGCAAATTCGGTGTGGAGTAGAAAACCTGCACATGCCTTATATCGGCTTTGCTTGGCTGAGTAGAGAATTGTGTTTCATAAGTCACAACATGCTGGTGACTATACGTGAAGAATAAACATGCAGTTCACGAGACAAAAGAGGAAATTCTTTCGTCGAAAATTATAAAATTCATCGCTCAGCCAAAACGTGTTACCGCAGCGGTGAAAACATTATCCGAATTAAATTCAAGTTATTGTAACCTCAACTAGGAAGTTTCTGCTCACACAGTTCTCATGTAGCTATCATAGTATCATAGTAGTATCATGTATAAGCTATCATGACTTAACTTTAATTTCATATGGGTGGTTCCAATATTAACAAAAGTTGAAATTCATGACAGATGCTAGTTATCCAGATCAACTTCACATTAGCGTAAGGAATTTTAAGCCCGATTCCCAATTAGACTTTCTTACATCGTAATATGTGAACGATCTCTTATATCGTTGATCCTTATTGTATCATTTGATACATATTTGTCGGGCTAATGTCTACGATTCTGCCTTTCCATCAACACGAACGTTCAAATTTTTCGAACTAAATTAAATTTGCGATTTAAGCTTGAAAACTTATTGAATTTTTAAAGAAAATTTCGATAACTTATATAAGTATTAATGTTTAAACTTAAAGTGGTGCGTCAACAACGATCATAATATTATTGAATCATTTATACCGTTATAACATTTTGTTCTACTGGTTCTAGGTTTTATAGGTTTTGTTCGAACTGACTAGTGGCTGCTCGTTATATTTAAAAATGTAGAAATCTTCCGTATCTAATAATCTTCAATCTACACTTGTTCCATTATTCGTTCGTATTTTCGTAACTTCGCCAATTCGGAATTACTGACGCGTCAATTATTTATTTTTAGTCAGATTAATGACTTTTTTACAACGTATGCTAGTTATAATGCAAAACATAAACTTTATTAAATCGGTGTAATTATAATTCTCAGTTATACCCATATAGACTAGCCCCAGGCCAAATAAATCTACAATAACTCTTCATATTCCAAACTCGCTCCTACATTATTTACTGCTTATCACTAAACGTCAGCAGTTTATAACTTTATAATAAGCACTCTATCCAGCTAAAAGATATGCCCCGCATATCACGATACTACTTCGATATCAGCCTATTCGAGGATGACCCTTACAAACAGAGCCATGCCGGCCCAGATGTAACCCTTTTGGAGCTTCAAGAGCGAATCAGGAGGCAAGACAATTATATTTGTGAGCCGAAGACAGAAAATAAAAGATTACACTTGGAGGAAGGTAGCTGTGTTTGTCGGTTCACGTCGTCCTGTCTGCCACAGGAAAATCGTGGGATAGTGAGAAAAGAAGAGGAGCCGCTAACAAGAGAAATTCGTGGGATAGTGAGAAGAGAAGAGGAGCCGCTAACAAGAGAAATTCGTGGGACAGTGGGAAAAGAAGAGAAGCCGATAACAAGAGAAAGTTGTGGGATAGTGGGAAGAGAAGAGGAGCCGCTAACAAGAGAAAATCGTGGGATAGTGGGAAAAGAAGAGGAGCCGCTCACAAGAGAAATTCTTGGGATAGTGAGAAGAGAAGAGAAGCCGCTAACAAGAGAAAAATGTTCAGATATAGACGAGGATCTCAGTAAGTGTGATGGAGCAGATTCTGCGTTTAACTCGGCTGAAAGTTTGGACTTAACAATATCAAGATCTGGCAAAAAAACTGCTGAAGCCGAAAAAGAGGTCTTGAAATCAAAAAGAAACTTAACTTCAGATGACCAGAATTGCGGATTGATGGATTTTGGAGCGGAGGAAACATTGCAGAACACCGATCCAAGCTCTCAAACAACATGTGACCCTTTCTCTTTCCCTCATCTTCCAATGCAGACATCAACAAATTTGGATCTACCCTCCTTTACATCAGCAGCTCTTACTTCACCCAGTCCTATTCAAGGTAATGAATATGGCATTGCAGATTAATTCGAATTAGACAACAAATTTTGAATTATGAAGAACACACAAGGAAAGATATTATAAAACTGGATGAGGAACAAGGTGTAGAAAAGAAAATGAAGACCAAGGCTTTCTCCAGTGGTGAAGATGAATCTAATAACTCACCAATAGAAAGAGTGGTACATATAACACAATTTGCTGCTGCTGGTGATTGGAGGGTTACTCCAAGAAAGTGAGCTGGTTTTAATTTCAATAAATAATCTCATCCTCAGATCTCCCAGAAGCCAATTTCGGCGATGTTTTCACGGGAATTGAGGACTCCCACTCGACTGAAAAGGAATCTAGCCGAGAAATTCTCCAAAGCATCACCGACGAGAAGATTGAGCTGCTCTATGAAATTGGACGGACGGTAAGTACTATAAGTAGGGGGGACATTTTGTTTAATAATTATTAGTCATCTACTTTACATCAAGATATACCGACAAAGATTACATTGATATAATTCTACATTCTAGTTTTTAATTCCGGAAATATTAAACTTGGGCAATTTTTTTAACTGTTCCTTGTTTAGAACTTTTTGTTGAATAAATCTTGATACTGGATGGGCCGAGGCAGGGAAAAAAGAAAATCGCGATTATTTTGCCCAAAAATCGCAATACCGCGATTTTTAACAGACTATACATTAGGCTATACATAAAATTTTTCGCAAATAATAGGAAAACTCGCGATTCCGCACATGCCGCAATTTCCTTTTTTCCCTGGGCCGATGTTAATCATATTCTTCTCCTGACACGTGACGGATATCAAACAATAACCACTCAAAACCAATAATCTCTGTCACGTGTCAAACAAATATGATTTGCCTCCCCATCATTATGCAGATCTATAGCACAACATTACTAACACATCTTAGGGTTAGTAGGAACATAAGCGGTCACGTCCGCGAGAGTCGGGATGTTTGACCCATACTGTCAACGTATACTGTTAAATTCAACAGAACTGTTTTAACTTCATTGATAGTATCGTTGTTGAGTTCCTAGAATTTTTCCAGTTTTATACAGTTGATTCTGCAGAATTGTTCAAACTTTGTAAATTCTGTATTTCATAATGGCTATTATTTTGTGGACGCGCTGCACCTAACTTAGGTCTCATTTTACTAAACACTACCATCTATACGTTTTGTCTACATTGTCACTGCCACTTTTTAAGCTTTTACATTTTGCAGTGCCTGAGTTCTAGCCGACAATTGTGTAAAATAATTAAGAAAGCTATAAAATAATTGTGTTTCAACATATAGAAATCCAAAAATATTTAACAACTATAAATGCACTAACTCGGACTCATTGGTGTTTGCCTTTTGCATTGTGGGCAGAATGCAAAGTCATTGGTTAAACGTTATTTCGGCAAACAGACGGTCGCTATCGAAGCGGCCATAAAGCTTTTCACTGATTGAATAAGCTGTTGACAGAAATGTCCGTGATATAGAGCAGGCTGTCTTCGTCTGAAGGCTGGGTACCAGCAACTGAGCAACTGGTACCCAAAATAGCAACGAAAATAAATAAACTCGGGGCCGTTATGATTGAATTTGTCGCTGATAATTAATGCTTATTGTTTGTAGACTCTGCCAAAATACCAAATTCTTCTAAAACTAAATGGAGCACCACTTTGATAAGTTCCGCAATTTCTGCTTTTAATGATACAAAATATTATGAAGGAGCAGTTGCTACGAGGTCTGCAAATTGGAATTTGTGCACGAGGTCAGGTGATTTTAACAAATGACACGTGGTTTAAGAAACTGTCACGTGACCAATTCGGCCGGTGCGTTGACAGCACGTGATAAGACCACCTGGTGATTGATTTAAAATTTGAGGTGAGCTGTTCACACAAAACTCAACGGTTGCCTGCTGTTTTCTATCAAAAACACCCTACCAGAGCGGAAGGGTTCAGTGTACACGAAAAATGGATTATCGTATTAAGTCAGGTGCTGAAATGCTGACCTCTCATAGGACCAGCTGTGTGCACGTGACCGTTGAAGCTAACGCCGGTACTGCAAAAACCGTCCACAAAACATTTCATTAAGTTCAACATCCGTCTTAGCAGTGCAGATTTTATTTTTTTGTTTAGTGCCCTGTAACTTTGCTCCTCCACCAAGATGCTGACCGATGTAAGTTTCTCATCCTCTACTAGCTTTTAACTGAGATCGATTAATTTCCTTAATCAACTTATTCGAAATAGTTATCATGGACCGAATTTGTCGCAGGCTTAATTATTCCTGCAAGTCGACTTCAAATGTTTTAAAATTCTTGATTTTCTCTAGTTTAATAAAAGAATGAAATAAAAATCAAGTTCCACTATTAAAGCGTATTAAATTTAATATTATTGTGAATTGTGGGATGAACGTAATAAAATTCAATTGTCAGCAGAAATAATCTGACTCAAAATTTTCGACTGTTTTTTTAACAGGCTGAATTTTCGCGGCCATATGCGAGATTTGCCATAAAGTCTGTGAAAATTATTTCTTCGTGGTATTATAAATAATACAAGACAAAAAACATATACTAGTCCGGCTGGTTTTATTTTAGCATACTAATTTCTTCGATTAATTAAATAGTGACGTTAAATAATTTTCTTGACCAAATGATCTTCACACCAGTTCTTTTAATTTAGTAAAGCTTTCCTTTCCTAATATTGCATTTTTACAGACCCTCAAAGCCCAACTTGGTTTGAACGAGGACCAAGTCCGTGAATTCAAGGTTGCCTTCGACATTTTTGATGAGGATACCTCTGGAACTGTTTCCACTGGAGAGTTGGCCAGCGTAATGAAGACTTTGGGACAGGACATTGACGAGAAAGAAGTCGGTGTAATGATCTCTGAGGTCGACAGTGATGGTAAATTTTAATTTAATCTCATCTTTTCCATTTGGGGGTCGTTCACATATTACGTAATCAGCGAGCTATGTGTAAAACTGATTACGGAGTGGAGGTGGGGGGGGGGGGGGGGGGTAAAAAGAAGTCGAGTTATTTTTATCATTATATCCATATTTTATGGCAAAAATGTGGATTGTGAACTGTTCTGTCGAATTATAAATGTTAATACTTCGTTACCTAACTAATTTACCAACTCCCCAGGTTCGGGAGAAATCGATTTCGCCGAGTTCTGCACACTTATGGCCCGTCAGATGGAGAAGTCCGACCCCGAGATGGTCTACAAAAAGGCTTTCGCTATCTTTGACAAGAAACACGACGGTTTCATCGATCCCTCGGAACTGAAACATATCATGACGAACATTGGTGAAGACATGGGCGACAGCGAAAGTAAGTTTCTTTGACTGAATTTGAAGCGATATATTGCCAACATACCAAGAAATACCATAAAATAAAGTGTTTGGAATTTACAGACCAGTTTATTTTTCGAAGGATCAATACTTTCGAATAAGAGAAAAACGTTTTCAATTTTATGAATATTTTCTCTCCCTCAGTTGCTGAAATGATGAAGGAAGCTGATGTTGACAATGACGGAAAACTGAGTTACGACGGTAAGTGACAAAATAATAAAATATAACGAAATATAATGGCCTTTGAATTAGTGTTCATGTTTATTACAATTTGGTTAAAATGTTTGACACACTTTCTTACTTTATTATTCGAATATTAATTAATGTTTCATATCAATGATAAGTGTTTAAGTTATTATTATATTTTTTCACTCAGAATTCCTGGAGGTTATGTTGGCCAAATAAACAGAGAGACGACCACACAAGGGAAGAAAAAGAAGAGCTTCATACCGCACCCGGGGCACTGCCGATCACACCATCTAACGCGTGATACCTCACGCAAATACCACGTGACGTCACTCGTGTCGTCACAGCGGTTAAGTTTACCATCCTCGTGTGAAAGATATGATAATTTTGGACGATTTTTTATTATACGGACACAGGCAGTTTTGGTTATACATTTTGTAATAGGATCCAATGTATGTTATGATTATGAATAATTGGTTTTAATGCGAGATTTTATGTAAATAGAGGGAGGTGTACAAAGTTATTAGAGTCTATCATTATGTCTACCATTATGTCTACCATTATGTCTACCATTATGTCTACCATTATTCAATAATTTATTGTCTGGAATTCAGCTGTCAAGATTTTCACACACAACTCCCATGAACGCGGAATCTCACTAAAATAACTTCAGAAGCCTACCAACTAAACTCACATACCTCTAGGCTCTAAAGTAAGTATGCAAACCTTGAACCAGGAAGTCTGCCGCACAAATCAAGTGTATCTCCGGTAATTTAGTAGATTACTTAAACATTGAACTCACACTATACTCATGTGGCACTCTCAGAATTAGCAGATGTGACATAGCAAATGATACACGACAGGCCGGCTTTACTTCTACAAATGCGTTTCATTACGTTCATTAATAAACTAGCTCATCTTCACGCAATACTCATCAAGAATCGTTTTGATTTTATAAAACCATTCGAAGAAAGTATGGCGAACCTCCACATCAGCGTATGAAAACAATTCGCTAATAGTTGTTGAGGTGTCCATTCAGACCAATTAAAACAATTAAGCTTAAAGTTGGAAGCTGCGTGTCACATATCTGCACTTGCAAAGCTTCCAAATGAGGTTTGTGCCACGTGCAGCATACCATTCCACACGTGACTGCAGCAAACTAACACGTGCGTTCCACGGTAGTTGTGTTGAACTGGGTATCCCGGGACAAGCTAATCTCTAAAGATCGACTTGACACTACCAGACAGTCTTAAAAGTAAATCTGAAACAGTCCCTGAACTGTTCCACCGTGCAAAAATACAGTGATTTGGGAAAACTTTGCTGTACACGTAGAATGTACATTAAATAAGGCGTTGAAATGTCAGACTATCACTGGGCTAGAAGCTCACACGTGATCATTGGAATCAACGCTGGTTGGATGGAAATTTTAGAAAGCGTTGACGGAACATTTCATTAAGTTCAACATCCGTCTTGGTAGTATTGAATATATTTTGCTGTTCTGTTAGTTCGCACCAAACATTGTACCAATATGCTGAATCCCGTAAGTTTCTTGCAATTCTTTAAACTATTTAACTATTCTTTAATTCAGGTGAAATTTTTACCAAAAATCACCGTCAAACCGGATTGCGCTCGAATGAATGTTATTAAGCGCCCTCAAAATAGAGTCGGTGAAGACATTTTATTCAATTTTAACATGAAAGGTGCGATTTAAAACCAAGTACTAAAAGTCAATAGTAGGTTTTCAACGAATTAACTACTTTATCTCTTTATTACTATTTTCTGCACTGGAAATAACAATCTTCCAGACTCTCAAAGCTCAACTCGGTTTAAACGAGGACCAAATCCGTGAGTTCAAGGATGCCTTCGATATTTTCGATGAGGATGCATCTGGAACAGTCTCCACTGGCGAGTTGGCCAGCGTGATGAGGACCTTGGGACAGGACATCGATGAGAAAGAAGTCGGAATTATGATTTCTGAGGTCGACAGTGACGGTAATTATTGTTGGCTTAATCTGTATTATAACCCAGCCCTTCAATTGATTTCAATTATACTGTTATACAAATTAAATCAAAAGTGTCTCTCTCAAATGTTGACAGTGATAGTATTGACTGTCAGCGGCCGAAATGATAAACTTATGCTGAGAGATATCGAATGAGGTTTGAGAGCTGTTAAATTAAAAGAAGCTCCTCGATCTGCGCTGCAAAGCAATTATCAATTTACGAGGTGGTTTCACTGTCAATCCCAGGTTCCGGTGAGATCGATTTCGCCGAGTTCTGTACTCTTATGTCCCGTCAAATGGAGAAAGCTGACCCAGAATTCGAGTACAAAAAAGCTTTCAAAATCTTCGACAAGAGGGGTGATGGATTTATTGACAACGCTGAACTTAAACACGTCATGACCAACATCGGTGAAGACATGAGCGATCATGAAAGTAAGTTTTTGAAACTGCATTTAATAGTTGCTATAACTATAAGCGTAAGACCGATCACCAATTATTGTCACTTAACATCACAGTGCCAGTGGTTTTTTTTTATTGTAGTTGCCTCATATCGGATCCATTTGACCTGTAGCCTGTCATTGTGATTAGATATTGTCAGTAAAATCGGGTATTGGCATAATTGGTGATGGTTGCCGCAGTTCTGATGGCGATATCCAATAAGTTACCCTGATGAAAAGTTAAAATCGTTATTTCGATGACACCAGTAAGTGAGAAAGGTGTAACCATTATTTGCATACAATGGTGACATTACACGATACAACCAAGCGCAAACATTTTCAGTTTTACCATCCCTTGCGATGATGTACGCCTCATTAAATGACGAGTAGCAATTTATATTAATGAATGATGCCTTTCGTCTAATTGAAAAGTGATAGCACAATTACTTAAGTACTAATTATTGAAGTGGGAGTTGGTAGTGAAAATATTTTGCGATCCAAGATTATCAAATGTGACTTCTAAAATAATTGCACTGGTTATCATGGTAACGGATAGCATCATTGTTACTGGTTATCATGGTAACGGATAGCATCATTGTTACTATGCTGTCCCCTTCATGATGGTGCTCACCGTAATAATTGTCTTGACCTTGTTTGACGCAAACTGAGAAGCGGGGAGGCGGACGAGGTGGACGAGGCGGGGGTTAGTGGAGGCGTGCATTTTCATCTTTTTTAACATTTCCTTATTGAAATATCTTTCTCTCGTTAAATATTCTCGTTTCAGTTCTTGCAATGATCAAAGAAGCTGATTTGGATGGAGATGGCATGCTCAATTACGATGGTAAGATACTTTTACATAAAACTAAAACGTTCTGCAATGCTGGAGATGGCATCGCTCCACCCCAACTAAAATCTTGTTTGATGCTTTTACATAAAAATCAAAAGTGCATGTTCCATTGTTCCAACTGAGCGCAGCCACAGTTTTTTTACGGGCGTACAAGCATCAATTCGGTATTTGTGCTTAGAATACCCAAAAATGCTCCTATAATTAGCTTAAGTTTCCGGGGCCGGTGACGCCGCCTGCAAACCCCATCGGTGTTTCGCCCCTGGCCCCACTGGGGCTGTGCCCTTCCGTGGTTAAATCAGCTAACGCTTCGCCCTGGTTAAAGTAGTCACTTTCTGAAACACATGGTGCACGCTTCACTTTTTTGTAGTCGACCATTATTCTTCCCTGAAAAATGCATGATATGCCCATATATTGTTTTTTATTCCTGATCTGTTTGAGTATGCCGTAGAGGGAGCCGTGGTACTACTAGGCACGGTCTTATTAGACAGTCGTCCAATAATTGTGCAAATATTTGTCGGCTGAACAGGTCTTCAGGGAGAATCTTCCAGGTTTAATATTGAACTGCCTTGTTGGACACTGGTCAGATATTTGTTATAAATGTGTCGCCCGGACAACATATTTTATTTACCATTTCACTCGATACGGAATCTTGTTATATCGAGGAAAGGTTGCGAGCTTGGACAGCCGGGTAACAAAAAGTGCACACTGAGCTGTGCAGGGTGTTGAAAGCTCCACATACCATGCCTACACCTAACATCTCTGCAGTGAGCGAGGGTGTTGACAAGCTCCAAATTGTATTGCCAGCTTCCTGTCTCAATACTGCTCATTGTATTCCCTCCACAAGCCAGAGATGTGGCGGCAGCTCGGCTATTTTAACACATTCAGCAAAAGTATTTTGCGGTGGCTGGCAGGTTTCTTGCTGCGGAACGAGGGGTGATGTCAAGCATTATTGACAGGTTGAGGAGGTGCAATGTTCTGAAGAAAGGTTGCGGCTTTGCTGGTTGTGTTGTTTAGGGTTTCGCAAATTATTTCGCCCTTAGATTCTATAAATAATTGTCAATAACATATTTTATTTCAGAATTCCTGAACATTATGTTGGCCAAATAAACAGAAAGACACACTTAGATCAAGAGGAGAAGAAGATGAGCTGCAAATCACATGCGGGGCATTGCCGACCATAGGGACTGACGCGTGATACCTCACGCAACAACTGCGTGATACCTCACGCAACTTCCACGTGATGTCATGCTGTAGGCTTGTGACTGACACGTGACTGCAACGTTGTGTCAAACAACTAGGTTTAATATCTTGTATGAATTTGATATGATATCGGGACATCATTCATAAAGATCTATTTTATGGAGACAAGCAGTTTTTTGTGCTATGTTTGTAATATGCTGTATATAATATAATCCTTGTCGTATAATATTATGAATAGTTTGTTTCAATTGATCAGCAAACTTACTAACTTAAGAGTTAAGTAGTATTTCGAATTCATTTAGGAAAGTACGAGATTTCACTGTAAATAAATGGCTGCGTTCTAGATTAACTATTAAGGGTACACAAATTTGAGTAGAAAGAATAATAAAACACAGCCAGTAAAACAATTCCACTGGTTTTTCATAGTAAAGTACTGGGTGGGCCAAAAGTCAATACCCATACGTTGGCCTTAATAGCTCCGCCGTGTTATTATTTCAATTAGGCAATCAGTGACTGAGCTATTAAGGCCAACGTATGGGTACTGACTTTTGGCCCACCCTGTATTAAGTGTGGATAAAGTGCGAGAGTGTAGTTTAAAAACATTTGTTGCCGTCACCACTATGATGTGTAATATCGCACAGCTCAAGAAATTATAAATATAAAATAATATAACTATAAACATGAACATGGTCATGCTTACACAAACCCCAAGTGTGAACATATTTCATGTAGCAAGCTGTAATTTATTTGTCTGCACTGCGTGCATTTAAAGTTAAAACAATCGGTCGAAGCTAGAGTCACATACTGCGAAGATATTAAACTCTGAGATAAATGAGATAAGCTTGTGACGATCATACTTGCTCAAGACTGGTTGCTTTGTTCTTCGATAAGTTCGATTAATTTGATAGTTGTTGTACCGTTGATTCAGTAGTAGTTCACTGTTTGGAGGTCTGACTAAGATACTGGTGATTTTGGAACACTCTTATTATTACACGGATCGAAGACGAAATGTGACCTTGAAATTGAGGAACAATGAAAAATAAGACACTCTAAAATTTCAGTTTGTGCTCTTGTTAACATACCATGAAATGGGTGATCCTCGCACTGTTTCTCATATTTTCTAAACTTGGCCGAATCTCAAGCAGTCAGGCATCATCAAATCATGAGCTGGTTCATCACAGTGACTCTGAAGATGTTCACAACAACATCTTCAACACTTCTTCAGACCATTTGAGAGGACTCAAACCAGAGATTAGATTGAACAGAGTTGCTCTGACACTGAATCAGAGTTTAACGAGGAATGTGGACTACCCCTCGGTGCGGGTGTACAACGGAGATCCGGCCACAGTCGGCCATATTCCTTTCATTGTGAGTATCACTATGACAACAGTATTTTAAAAGAAAGATTTTTACTCAGTTCTCGGTAAAGCTAAATCGTGAATCGGGTGAACCCTCTACACCTCTAAGTCGGTAGAAATCAGCGTTTTGATTCCCTCCTCACATTTCAAAATTTAGTATTAAACCTTGATGACTGTGTAAAATGTGTCTCTAAATAACGAGAACAATCGACTGGCAGGTCCGTATCTACACCTACAAGAGTGGTTACCGTTACATGTGTGGCGGGTCTATCCTGTCAGAGCACTGGGTAGTAACAGCAGCGCATTGCATCCTGGACCAGGCTCAATATGAGGGTACTAACCACTCTTTTACTATCCACGGCCCTAATATCCAGGTTAGTAGACTTGTCAAGGGTTGCAGGGTGTTATAACATAATGTAGTCATAATGTAGTCATAATGTAGTCATCAAGTAGTCATAAAGTAGTCATAATGTAGTCATAAAGTAGTCATAATGTAGTCATAATGTAGTCATAAAGTAGTCATAATGTAGTCATAAAGTAGTCATGATATAGTCATAATATAGTCATAACGTAGTCATAATGTAGTCACAAAGTAGTCATAATGTAGTCATAAATTAGTCAAAAAGTAGTCATAATGAAGTCATAAAGTAGTCATAAGGTAGTCATAAAGTAGTCATAAAGTAGTCATAATGTAATCATAATTTGTCATAATGTAGTCATAATGTAGTCATAATGTAGTCATAAAGTAGTCATAATGTAGTCATAATGTAGTCATAAATTAGTCATAATGTAGTCATAAAGTAGTCATAAAGTAGTCATAAAGTAGTCATAATGTAGTCATAAAGTAGTCATAATGTAGTTACCTTAGTTCCCAAAAATTTGTGTGCCATTATATTGAGCACAATTTATTTGAGCCCGAAAAATTTGGGCAGAAAATTTGAACTCATTTGGGCGACCGAAAATTTGGGCACAAATTCTTCGAAAAATGAACGATTTTCCACTAAAATTTTAGATAGATATTTGCCTTACGGGTAAATGCCTCACAGAATGGCTAGCCTCACAGAATGGCCAAATTTGTAAATGTTTTTGTAACTAATTTTTTATAAAAGACTGGTAGGTTTTGTGGATACCATATGAAACAAAAGTCTTCTGGCAACACTTCCTGTGGTGAAATCATTAACTAGGACCACATTTTCTGGCATAAATATGACTGTTTATGTAGAAATTTTGAGCACTAAAAAATTTGTTTTCAAATTTTTGAACTAAGTTTACATTTTGGTGAGAACTTCTGGCACCAGTATGACAGAAGATGTTCAAAGAATAGTATTCATCAAAAAAAACGAACATTGTTCAATATAGGAAGAAAAAAATGCTAAAATGGCTACACGCCTCACAAAATGGCCAAAATATGCCTCACAAAATTTGTTTTCAAATTTTTGAACTAAGTTTGCATTTTGGTGAGAACTTCTGGCACCAGTATGACAGAAGATGTTTAAAGAATAGTATTCATCAAACAAAACGAACATTGTTCAATTTAGGAAGAAACAAAATAATAAAATGGCTAAACGCCTCACAAAATGGCCAAAATATGCCTCACAAAATGGCCAAAATTTGAAACTCCTTTTATTCAATGAAACCATAAGTCTAAAGTATTCACAAGCTATTTATTATACAATAACACCCCAGATGGAGTGTTTTTACAGCCGAATGAAGGTTATAAATCATGAAATCAGGGAATATGAACAACGCCACACAAAATGGCCATTTTTGGTGTAGGAAATTATGCCCTTTTTATTCAGTTCTAAGAAATTTCACCTATATGGGGGTGTTAACAAGGCATATTAATACCAGCAGCATGCCTGAAACAAGAGCCAAAGGTTTTAGAAAAATAAAATTTTCTCGTTTTCTTTTTTTTTTGCCATTTTGTCAGGCATTTTTTCTTTTTTGTGAAATAATTTTTCACAGCTCAGTTTTTTCGTGAGTTTTAGGTTATTACCCCATTCCTTAATAGGTTTTCTAAGAACGTGTGGTGATAGAAATTTAAAAAGTATCTCCATCAACAAAATTATAGAAATTCAGATTTGGCCATTCTGTGAGGCATGTTTTTTTCGAGGAAGATTTTCCGGCCAATTTTTCTCAAAGAAAAAATGGTTATGAGATTAAATGAACCCCCGGGAAGAAAAATATGAGTGTCAACTTAGCTTCTTATGAGATAAAAACTGGAATAAAGTTTGTTTTGTGACTTTGAGAGACCTTCCTTTTTTTTGGCCATTCTGTGAGGCAAATACCCGTAGTTCATTATTATTCCTTATTATTCCAGTCATTTTGCTTTCAATTTTAAGCATGTAGGTGGTAGTCTGAGTTGTTTCACATTATGAAATTGACGATCTGCCCAGTAACTACTAAAAAATACAGTGATGATGGCACAGTACAAAATGATAGATATACATTATACAATAGTGATATTTAGTCTCTCAATCAGATAGTTTAGTCTACTTACACTCAGCATATCTTATCATACCCCTTTCACATACAATTATCATTATGACGCCTCATCAGATGGTCGAAAGCTTTGGAAGAAAATTAGAAGGTTTACATCATGATCTATCAAACTAAGCGGCACATACGCTTAGCTTTGAGGTATCCGTACCTCTAACCATTTGTTTTATTAGTAGCTGTTAGCTATTCCAGTTATTTCTATTCATTTAAAATATAAGCCTTTTTACTTGGTCAAGCCATGAATGACAGATTAGAAAACTAAAATTTCAAATATTATTTCACTTGGATATTTAAAAAAAGCCATCTTTCTATAGATTTCAGGGCCACAGGCCAAATGCAAAAAGTTTGGTTAGCAAAAAATTTAGCAGACGGAAAAGATTTATGCAATTAATTTGGTCTGCAAAATATTTGGGCGAGAGGCCCGCTCAAATTTTTTGTCGCCCAAATTTTTGGGAATTAAGGTATAATGTAGTCACAAAGTAGTCATAATGTAGTCATAAAGTAGTCATAAAGTAGTCATAATGAAGTCATAAAGTAGTCATAAGGTAGTCATAAAGTAGTCATAAAGTAGTCATAATTTAGTCATAATGTAGTCATAATGTAGTCATAATGTAGTCATAATGTAGTCATAAAGTAGTCAAAATGTAGTCATAGTGTAGTCATAACGAAGTCATAATGTAGTCATAAAGTAGTCATAAAGTAGTCATAAGGTAGTCATAATGTAGTCATAATGTAGTCATAAAGTAGTCATAAAGTAGTCATAAAGTAGTCATAATGTTTTCATAAAGTAGTCATAATGTAGACATAAAGTAGTCATAATGTAGTCATAAAGTAGTCATAAAGTAGTCATAATGTAGTCATAATGTAGTCATAATGTAGTCATAATGTAGTCATTATTTAGTCATAGTGTAGTTATAATGTAGTCATAATATAGTCCGAGGAGTCCTCACTCTCCTCTCGGCCTAAGATGGCGTTTCTCGTCCTAAGATGGCGTTTCTCGTCCTATATATGATTTGGGGTTTAGGTTATTCCAGACTACAAAGGGTTTAGGGTATCTATTTACAATTTAAATATGATTTATTTACAGACGTGTTAGGGAATTTAAAATTTACAGTTTACTGAGGCTTCTGTGGTATTTTATTTGTAAAAGTTCTCCCTTTTATAATATCTAAATTTTCTGTCTGTAATATTTGAAAACTAAATTTCAAATTGCTGGCCAAGTACTGACCATTATTATACTTAATAGATAATTGCGGGGGACGTTTCAACAAGATTGTACGAAGCATCAACAGTTGTGAAATCTGTAACCCAAGTTTATACCCACGAAAACTACAACCAGTGGTATCTCCAGGTACGAAATACTAAACTTAGCCAGGGGTGCAGGGTCAAAGGGAAACCGACCAATCTCAATCATCAGTGGTACTGTCATCATTAGCGCCACTTGAAGCTAATAGTAAATTACTACACTGTGGTTATTGTAAGGAAAGACATATTACTAAAGGAGACGATGAGACATTACACAATACTCATTACACAATACAAATTACACAATACACATGCACCGTCAGTATAATCTATCTGCTAACTAAAAAGAGAGTAACATGAAAAGAATGCAAATCTTTGAAACGCGTGGAAACTTTAAAGGTAATGTTGGAATAAAATATGAATTGTGAAGCCCAATCAGTGTACGACTGTCAACACTGGAAAACTTGATCTACTGTTAAATATACTTCAAAGTTCAAACCTTCACCAAATATTCTTTATTTTCACATATTCATACCGAGTGCTATAGCAACGTTTATGGAAAGGGTTACTAATGATGAATGCGGTCGGTTTGTTTCTTTTGACCTTCTACTTAATCAGCATACTCCTCTTCATGGCCTTCACGAGAATTGATCAGCAGTTGGTCATGAACAGCTACAATTAATATTACTGTCTGCTTATTCTGCAACAATTTCACTAAAAACCATTAAAAAGGGTCCCCTACTCTTTTGATACAATTGAGAAACCCGCCACAGCTGACAATAACGTTACCCAGAGTGACATAGCACTGGTGACAATAACATTACCCAGAGTGACATAGCACTGTTGTACATAGAGGACGGGTTTGATCTAACTTCTGCCAACATAAAGAAAATCAGTGTAGCAGATTCTCAACCAGCTGCTGGCACTCAAGTAACTATTGCAGGTATGTGTAAATCTCCTGGCTCTCCAGTAACTATTGCAGGTATGTGTAAATCTCCTGGCACTTCTTTGGTAGCTTATCTAAGGGGGCTATACCAAAACGAAACATTGGAATGTTTCCCGTGTCCAACAACGATCAGCATCAGTAATCATTGATGAATATTATAATGAATCGCTAAATCCTTCACTTTGTTCGGGTTACAGCGGCCCTCTTTGTGCAATAAACGTTGAAACATCTGGATACAACCAAGAAGAGCACTATACAATACTGTTTATAGAATACTAGCTGTTAATACCTGTAATCTCACTGCAGGATGGGGCACTACAATACTGTTTATAGAATACTAGCTGTTAATACCTGTAATCTCACTGCAGGATGGGGCACTACAATACTGTTTATAGAATACTAGCTGTTAATACCTGTAATCTCACTGCAGGATGGGGCACTACAATACTGTTTATAGAATACTAACTGTTAATACCTGTAATCTCACTGCAGGATGGGGCACTATATAATACTGTTTATAGAATACTAGCTGTTTATACCTGTAACCTCACTGCAGGATGGGGCACTATATAATACTGTTTATAGAATACTAGCTGTTAATACCTGTAATCTCACTGCAGGATGGGGCACTACAAAACTGTTTATAGAATACTAGCTGTTAATACCTGTAATCTCACTGCAGGATGGGGCACTACAATACTGTTTATAGAATACTAGCTGTTAATACCTGTAATATCACTGCAGGATGGGGCACTACAATACTGTTTATAGAATACTAGCTGTTTATACCTGTAATCTCACTGCAGGATGGGGCACTATACAATACTGTTTATAGAATACTAGCTGTTAATACCTGTAATCTCACTGCAGGATGGGGCACTATACAATACTGTTTATAGAATACTAGCTGTTAATACCTGTAATCTCACTGCAGGATGGGGCACTATATAATACTGTTTATAGAATACTAGCTGTTAATACCTGTAACCTCACTGCAGGATGGGGCACTATATAATACTGTTTATAGAATACTAGCTGTTTATACCTGTAATCTCACTGCAGGATGGGGAACTACAATACTGTTTATAGAATACTAGCTGTTAATACCTGTAACCTCACTGCAGGATGGGGCACTATATAATACTGTTTATAGAATACTAGCTGTTTATACCTGTAATCTCACTGCAGGATGGGGCACGCAGGAGACGGAACTGATAGCAACAGTGCTCCAGTTTGCTAACTACACCGTCCCTGATCAGAAATACTGTCAACAGATCTACCGTCGAAAAGGGTGATTACAAGTTCTACCTTGACCGAAAAAACTTTTGAGATTATCTGTTTGATCTAAAAGATCTCATTAAGTAGTTTTGCTAGTTGATAATGGTGATAGATAATTCCTCACTTGATTAACTATCAGGTATTACATATTACCGGGGATGTTGTGTACAGGAGATGACGAGATGACATCTCACAGTGCTATAGGGGACAGTGGGGGACCTGTTTTCAGGGACCATGGTAACGGCAACTTCACTCTGGTAAGAGATCCGGGCAGTTATTGTACGGGGATTTATGAGCATGGTTATATATGGGATAATTAGTTTTATATTCGAAAAGATAAATAATTTCCACCCAGGTAATTGTTGATCAATTATTCAATCAATGGACCAATTCAATCCAGCTGGAATTTCAGTACGGTTTGGTGAGTTGGGGGGTTGGGAAGAATGTTGAAACTTACGATTACGATATCAACTCTGATGTGGCCTTTTACAATCAGTGGATATTCAACATCATGGTACGGTGTGAATTGTTCATTTGTTCATTGTGGATTTGATTTGATTAGCGAATTATCACCGTATTCCACCAAGTTCCAACTTAGTATCAGAATTGATCAGTCTGCTTTAACTGCCATGACCATAACAGTGGCGTAACGAAACTTAACTGAGGTACTAGCAAAAATGCGCGTTTTGCTCTGGAAACACACTTTTTAAAAGATTTTACCGGCGTATCCTCTAAAATCACCCAATTTGTTCAATTTTCGGGAGGGGCACCAAAAGGGGGCGCATTTTCGGCGGGGGGAGGCGCCAACAGGCAACGTTACGCCACTGGACCATAACACGGTTTGTTTGGGCAGTAGGATATCAATACCATTTAACCAGTAACCAACCTGAACAACAATTTTGATACCTAAGATAGTTTATGAAAAACACTTATTGTAAATAATAATTTGATGAAGGAGTAACTGTAAAACTTCAGGAGTCATACAAACAGTACCGAGTGGAGTTGCACGCTGACACCACCACAAAGTGGTTGTCGTGGAGAAGCGGGACTGATACTTTCAGGTACCAAGTCTACAATATCTCCTGTCAATCTGGTAGATTTGTTAATGTGAGTTGTGCTGAACAATAGAAAATTATGTAAAATAGCGTTGAATCTGTTGGAATAGACTATTAAAATAAATACGGTTATGTAAGAAACTTGGTTCATTTACAGTTTGTGCAGTCCATGGGCACGTGCCTAGCTGAACAGGTTGTGATGCACAATAATTGTTCCTAATTAGAACTTTATAAGAAGCCTCGCGCGTTCACCAGTCAAATCTGCTCTCTAGATGCTGCTACGAGCAAGAGTAGGAGTATGATAATTATATGAGTATATGTAATATAACCAACTGTTCCCAGTATTCGCATAACGTTACATTCCACCCTGCAGGTAGTGATCACAACACTGATTCTTTCACAAGACTTTAGTAATGTTATCGTTAGAGACGGTAACCAATACGACAGTCCAATCCTTCTCGAGCAACATCGTGACCTGGCTGAAAACCAAACTCTTAGTAAGTTTAGCTTTTGTCAAACACAAGAAAAATGCTTCGATTTTAACTCAAATATGGTACTGTAGTAGTAAACCCGCGATGGGGTGGCATGTGCCTCAATAAAAATATTACAATCATTTATTATTATATCAATTTATCGTTAAATATTTCAAAAATATTAATAACGTATGGTTGATCCTTCACACTTGGTAAAATATATAAAAATAAAGTTAATCTACACTAAAGAATAAATAATCTATATTATATAAATCAACAATATTAACTCCCCATCTTCTTGTAGTCATTTATCAAAGCGGTAGAAATCCAAGTAATTTTAGTACGCGGTGCGCAAGGAATTTCGTTTTTAAAAAATGTGTAGGCAAGATAAGCCTAAGTGTGGCAGTGAAAATTGAAAAATAAGTTGCAGAATAAATTGCAGTGTCTGACTGTCAAATGCATTATCGCAGTTCATTTATTTGACTGCACTAACGTTTAGGATTCTTACAGCTGTTATATTTTGCTAATATTTTGTTTAAAAGTTGTAAAGGACAAAGTTCTTGTCCGTCCACGAAAGGTTTTCTAGGTCAAGTTTTTGTTTGTCCTGTAAGTAACGTACAATGTTGTCCTTGTATGAATGAATAAACTTATCTTGTAGCTTAGGTACGTTGAAGGGAAGGATTTTGTTTATTTCGTTTATCGTGTTGTTATATAATCGTGGTCCTACGTTAGAGATGCTATAATCGGTGATCCGTAATCTGTTGAACTTAATTTCAAAATACTTTGGATTTCTCCTTTCCGTTTGTCTAAGCGGTGATTTTTCAAATATACTACAGATACTCGATGGTGCTACTCCCATATAAACCTTGTGCATCAAAGTTAGACAGCTTTTAGCAATGAGATTAGGAAGAGCTAAAATTCCTATTTTGTTGAAGATGGATTTTGTGTGAGATGGTAGTTTACGTTTTTCTTTGTCGTAAAAATAGTTATGATATTCTGAATCAGTGGCGCGAATAGCTTTCTTTTGAGCAGAGAATAAAGACTGAATAGAATTTAAAGATTTAGTACCCCAAACAGTAGCGCAGTAATACAGGTGAGATTGAATTAAACTATTGTATAGCATTTACAATAGTACTGGGAAAGCGTCATTACCACTTTTTCCTCATAAATCACTATTTATTTCAGCTTCTGTATTTTTATTTGATCTGTTGCGATTTCATAACAATCTAAAATTCTAAAACTCAGGTGTCACCTCGAACTCTAACAAACTACTAATACTGATAAGAACCACCAACTCCTTCAACTACAAACTAGTGAGATTCTTCTACTCCTCAGTCTCCGGTCCCGCTAAAGTCTCTGATCCACTTAAATGCGGAGGTAAGACAAAACAAAAAACTCGTCTTAAAAACTAAAGAGGTTTTATCCATAAATATAAACAGCTGTTCAAACAGCTGCAACTGCTTGTGTTGACATTATAGTTGATGTTATCTGAACCCTGATAAACATTTCATGTACACAATTAAGATGTGGTTTTTAAAACTCGTAACGACATAATAACCACTCTATAACGGTACCCTTTAATAACCACTCTATAACGGTACCCTTTAATAACCACTCTATAACGGTACCCTTTTCTTCCCAGACCTAATATCCTGCTCTAACAAGTGGGAGTGTTACGACCCGCAGTACCAATGTGACGGTGAGATAGCGGACTGTGCTGACTGGAGTGATGAGCAGTATTGTGGGGCCTCTGGGAGTTGTCACCTGATGGGTGCTGCTCTGGGATTGTTGGTCATTGTTTGGAGTTACTAAGTTACTAAGTTACTGAGTTACTAAGTTACTAAGTTAATGAGTTACTAAGTTACTAAGTTACTAAGTTACTGAGTTACTAAGTTACTAAGTTACTGAGTTACTAAGTTACTAAGTTACTAAGTTACTAAGTTACTAAGTTACTAAGTTACTAAGTTACTAAGTTACTAAGTTACTAAGTTACTAAGTTACTAAGTTACTAAGTTACTAAGTTACTAAGTTACTAAGTTACTAAGTTACTAAGTTACTAAGTTACTAAGTTACTAAGTTACTAAGTTACTAAGTTACTAAGTTACTAAGTTACTGAGTTACTAAATTAATCAGTTACTAAGTTACTAAATTAATCAGTTACTAAGTTACTAAGTTACTAAATTAATCAGTTACTAAGTTACTAAATTAATCAGTTACTAAGTTACTAAGTTACTAAGTTACTAAGTTACTAAGTTACTAAGTTACTAAGTAACTACATACTGCAGACAGAAAACAAGAAATCATGTTCATAAGCTGTGCCGACTGTGACAAAGTAATCGTGGTATTCTTTGGATTTTAATTGTGATATATTTTCGTTCGAACACTTTATGTGACCCTATGTGACCCTGAATTTGTTCAGAATTTACTAAGAGTAAACGTCAGAAATCAGAATTTCCTGTTTTTATGATTGGAATTTATGTAAAATCATATATTAAAGCTTTTAGATTCCAGACCGAAATATTTGGGTTTTATACAGAACTAAACCTTTCAGTGACAATTACTGTTTAACTAGCTGTAAATTAAAGATATCCACTAGATTATCCAGTTTATGGGTTAAAATGGTAGGAGATTATTTGGAAACAGGCAGAATCTGATACAGAACAATATTTGTGGATGGACCCACCATTCACTGATCTAAATAATCCGGGATATGAAGGACCAGTTCACAAAACTGATCGTCATATTAGTTTCCATTCAAACGGCACTAATCGAAGTGAACTGCAGTATTGCTGGGAAATAAGCTCCAGTCAGTGTTACAAATCAAGAAATTCATCTGGAATTTCAATTTATCCATCATCTAATCTGATGCACCAAAACTAAAATGAAACAATTTCTATATGTCTCTTTAACTTTGGGAGTCTGTTCTGTGCGACTGAGATAACTTCCGACACCCAGAGTCTGGGTAACATTGAGAAACCAGGGCCGGGTTTGAAATAAATTGAAGGCAGATGAAGGAGGTAAGATAATGACTGCACAACGTATAGTTATATCTCATATTAAAGTGTTCTATCTTGATTAGTCCAGTGGCATTACCATTATATGATTTCTTAAAACATTAACAAATGAAACACAGGTTTGCTAAGCTGGGGGACTACGAACCCACTGCAGCCAGTTTCAAGCTTGTCGCCCCGGGGCTCTATTACTTATTTATAAGTGAGCTGTAAAGTAAATCAATGGAGTATCATTTACTATTACAACGGAGTGTATACATTTTAAAATTCCGGTTAATATGGTCGAATGATTTAAAAACAAACGTTGTCCACGGGCTAATTGAGAAATCATTTCCAAAATTCATCCTCAGTTCTAAAAATATCGAACAGCTGTTGATTCGATTCGATTTGCGATTGAGAAATGAAAATGACACCAAAACGTTCATTGATATGTCAATTGTCGAATCGTGATATTAGTAGATAACTTATGGTGATTTTGGTAATGGACAAGTTACTTTTTTGTTGACCTTTTTCTATCCAAAAGAAGATCACAGATGTCATTTAATTTGATAGGAATAAGCGCTGTCATTCATGGGCTTCAGTTTTCGTTGGGATTATACCTAATATAGCTCCCGTTTAATGTTGGAAACAAACGAAATCTAGAATACCTAGGATCGTGATACATTATTTATCAACGTTGAAGATGTGCAATGCTTATTGCTTTATTGGTATTTGGCACTGCTCAAATTTGCGCTGGACACTAATTCCTTTAATTCTAATACAGTCATTCAACACACCAAGACTCAAGAGGTGCTTCAATCAACCATTCATGCTTAAGTACTTTGAAGTCTTTGCAATGAGCCACAACTTTTCACGGAAATTTAGAACTTCTGTGATGATGAATCACATGACTTTCTTTCTTATGTAATGAATCACATGACCCTTCATTACCCAATCGCAAGGCAATACCATACAAAGGGAGGTACACTGTCCTATCACAAGTCTGTATAGTGCATAATGCCTCACTGTTCATCATAAAATATATGTATGGAAGGACTGAAGTTTAACCTCGTGGCACCAAGTGAAGATAAGAGTGGAGTAACACCTTCCAATAAGAAAGGAGAACACCCGGCCTGGACTAACTCACCTAAAGGACAAATTATCACGAAATTTTGTCCGCAGGTCCGTTCATCGGCCATTAGAAAGGGACCTGTAAATATCCGAATTGCCCTTCATTGATGGAGAAAAGGTTCGTTGTTTAGTGCCATTATTATGACGTTCTGTTCAGTTTTGTCGATATTTGAAACTTTACACTGTTCGGGATGATGAATGTTAAATCACAGATTCGACTGACTCTAATATTGATTGCAGGTATGTTTCTGCTTAAAAATGTTATGATTTGCTTGTTCTAATTACAATTAGCAGGATTCACAAATCTAACCTTTGATTTTAACCAATTCTATGACCCTTCTATGTCCCAACTTTATTCCTTGCAATGACCCTCACTCTATATCGTTAATCTTTAATAATGACAAATCTTAAAATATTGAGATGCATCTTTAAAAAATTCGAAACTGTAGTCAGAGTCGCATATTACACTAAAATATCCACGCAGCTGTCGCTGTCGCTAAAGGGAGTGGTCAGGACTCTTGCGGTTCTGGAACCTTCTTTAACGGAGGGAACTGTGAGGATTGCCCCAAGGGTCAGTACCAGGTAAAACATTGCAGTTTGAGGCAATTTTGTGGGGTTTTTTTGCTATTCAATGTTACTTGAATCTGGAGCATCGTTTCATTGGAACAATGTTACTTTGTTCGTCAAATTATTTAAACTTGATTAAAACGTTTTGAGATATTATTCTTTTTCGATCCAATAAAATTGGATGAGTTGATCGCAACTGTTGTTACGACTCAGGCTGTAGTTATAAAGTTATAACCATGTTCCAACTGCCATATCATAAAGTAAAAGTCCACTCTTTCAGCCAGACAGTGGTCAAACGAGTTGTTTTAATTGTAAAAAAGGAACACACCAACATTTACCGGGACAGACAAGTAAATTTACTGTAGAACACTCTGATAATGAGTTCAGCAAGTCATCTTTGCTTTTATAACTTAGCTTATATCTTTCAAGTCTGGATCTTTTTCGTTTCTATCTCATCATTTGAACAATTAAGGTGCAAATGCTGTAAGTTTTAAAGTTAATAGAATTGTTTTTGTTTTAATGATGAAGGTCTGAGATTAAGATTGTTATTATTGTTGTTTGTAATTTAAGATTCCTCGACAATTCTCTTATGTTTTGATGAATTGAAATTTATGGCGATCGTTTAATCCTTATCTCATCTAATTCCGCACCATTTATACGGTATAAAATCTAACACCTACTCAGAGTCGGTTATACGTTGCTTTAGTAACCACGAACTTTGTCTCCTCTCACTAGGCTGTAACGATTGTCCGGTGGGTTGGATGGCTGGAGCTGAGGGATTGAAGGCCTGCTCAGAATGTCCTCCAGGTACGATCATAACACAATTAATGCTTACGTCATCAGGGTTGCTTACGTCATCAGGGTTGCTTACGTCATCAGGGTTGCTTACGTCATCAGGGTTGCTTACGTCATCAGGGTTGGCATTGCTATTTAAGCTTGTCAACTAGTAAGCGGTTCCTTCTTGTTTTCTTCTTTTGACAATTTCCGAGATGTAATTTGCATTTAATTCTTTGAATAAAACAGTTTGATAACGCACGTATTACAAAATAATAACAACATACATTGGTAGGCACGCACTCAAATAATACTAAAGCAGTAGATTGTCCTGGATGTGAACCTGGTACTTACAACAACTCTACTGGAAAAGAAAGTTGCGACCTTTGTCCACGTGGAAAATACCAGGTACTATTAGTATTAGAGTATTAGCTTATTAGTAAAATAAACCATTCTTTTTTCTCTACAAATACGACACTTTCTGTACAAAACTTCATCAAGCCTGCGATATTGACATTCGCGCGATTTTCAAAGCTACATCTTCATCAAGCGATTGTTCCATTTCCGTTTAACGACAAAGTTATAGTTCATTAAACACGCAAGCACATTCCTACCACAATGTATAATAACCATGGTAACATTCCTACCATAATGATCACCTAATTCCTCAGGTAACCTAAAGTAACCTAAAGTAACCTAAAGTAACCTAAAGTAACCTAAAGTAACCTAAAGTAACCTAAAGTAACCTAAAGTAACCTAAAGTAACCTAAAGTAACCTAAAGTAACCTAAAGTAACCTAAAGTAACCTAAAGTAACCTAAAGTAACCTAAAGTAACCTAAAGTAACCTAAAGTAACCTAAAGTAACCTAAAGTAACCTAAAGTAACCTAAAGTAACCTAAAGTAACCTAAAGTAACCTAAAGTAACCTAAAGTAACCTAAAGTAACCTAAAGTAACCTAAAGTAACCTAAAGTAACCTAAAGTAACCTAAAGTAACCTAAAGTAACCTAAAGTAACCTAAAGTAACCTAAAGTAACCTAAAGTAACCTAAAGTAACCTAAAGTAACCTAAAGTAACCTAAAGTAACCTAAAGTAACCTAAAGTAACCTAAAGTAACCTAAAGTAACCTAAAGTAACCTAAAGTAACCTAAAGTAACCTAAAGTAACCTAAAGTAACCTAAAGTAACCTAAAGTAACCTAAAGTAACCTAAAGTAACCTAAAGTAACCTAAAGTAACCTAAAGTAACCTAAAGTAACCTAAAGTAACCTAAAGTAACCTAAAGTAACCTAAAGTAACCTAAAGTAACCTAAAGTAACCTAAAGTAAGTATCTTCCCCAGGACAATACAGATGAGGTGGAGTGTAAGAGATGCCCTGATGGGCAATATAACGACCAGGAAGGTAAAGCATCCTGTAAACCCTGTTCTTGGACTCTAAGTGCTGACCGTTCTACTTGCTACTGCCCACCAGGTTTATTTGGTTAACCTTCATAGTAGGATCCCAATTTCAACAAAAATTCATTCTTTATCATGTTAATCTATTATCTTTTGAATGATTTTATTTGACATACTAGATTCTTAGCAACCTGAGAAATCTGAAAATATCGTCAATCCAGGTACCTACAAAGACGGATCAGTTTGTTCGTACTGTCCACCAGGAACCTACCAAAACAGGACTGACGCAGACAGATGTGTGAGCTGCCCGGCTGGCTATTACCAGCAGTCTAATACTTCAGTACAGTGTGAGCCATGTGGTCAGGGCAGTCACCAGATGAAAAGTGGGGAGGTCACCTGTTTGGATTGTGGGCTGGGGTTCTATCAGAATCAAACAGGTCAGAGTTTCAACCTTTTCATGGGTGAATAATCTGAATTATGATTGATCCATAAATGTTCTCAATATCTTACAAATTTTGAAATGATTTCCACAGCTACATCAACGGATAAATTTCCTCCCATTTCAGGACAAGAATACTGTTTACGATGTCCAGGTGGGACAACTACGAAAACTGAGGGGTCAGCCCAGTGTGAAGGTTTAATGTTATTTTCGAGTACCACCTATAAATATTACTTAATATTACAAATATTCATAATATTACTCAATATTACTTAATATTACAAATATTCTGTTAAAATTCTCACGTGCGCGCCTTTATTCCTTTGCCTTGGTGTTAAATTCATTCAAGTGTTGCTAACATATATATATGTTCTTAAAACACATCTGCATAATCTATCACGTAATTTATCACAGAATTACGGCCACCTATTACCCACAGAAAGATACTGATAACATCCCCCCAACAGATACCGACCCTGGAGATCAGTGCAAAGCAGGTCACTACTCAACGTCTGGTACCGAGCCTTGTCGGTGTTGTGAGATTGGGACTTACCTACCAAGTGAGGGAGGGACTGTATGTTATCCCTGTCCGGGTACCACCGCTGCTCAGATTCCAGGTGAGATGATAATAATTGATTCCTTCAAGATCAATATTCTGCTTGAATTTCTTGTGCAATTTACCAATGTAATATGCTTTATGAAAAATGAATTCCAGGTAGTAAGAAATGCGAGGAGTGCGATACGCAAATGTGTGCTTTTCAAGGAAAATGTCATAATTGCTCAACTATTAAAAATTGCATCGATGAAGGGATCGGTCTCTGTCATTCCTGTAACCATCAATGCAAGGACGGTTCTTACTTATTTTGTTAGTCAAATTTTACATTTTTTACCACTTTACATTTCTTAGATAGCCATCTGCCATATATACATTATATATTCATTGTGGTAAAAGTTACAAAAACTGGCAGTAACATTCCCTAATCCTGCTCCTTTTCAGCTGTAGCTGGAATCACAATCTCGATGGAGATTTCGACGATTTGCGGCGGTGGCTTATTATTTCTAATTTCTTTCTGCATTTTCTGTGAGAATCTAGTTTTATAGAATTTCTATTTGATCGGTATAGCAAAGGAAAATTTGTTCGGTTTGAATAGTTGATTGAATGAGCATTGAGCACATATAACGGATTAAATGTTTTCTTTACAGTGGGATCTTGGAGATGGAAGAAAAGAAAGAACAAAATCTCGGCCACTAAACGAAAGCAAATATTCGAGAAGAAATCCAGCCCTTCAAAATCCCAACTCATCATCGACATCAGAATCAGACCCCACAAATTCCAAGATATGCCGATAGACTTGGACTTTTAAACGAATTTTGTTTAAAAATGTGGCCGATTGTCAAACCCACGTACCGATTTCCAAACCCACATACCAGTTCACATGCCGTTAAAACTGCCACCGAATTATTAAACGTTCCGAAGTCGTATAAAGCACCAAAGAATCGTGCCTTGCTTATATGTGCTAACTTCACATGTTGCTTTCAGACACTTTTGTTGATTTGCCGGCCTTGTTTCGCTGTTAAACTGAACGAAAAATGCAAACTCTTGGATGAATTATGGTCACCACTCTCCAGCAAATTCGAGGAGGATTTATTTTGTATCATAAACTTGTTCATGGTTGTGGGATTTGGTTTATTCTGCAAAACAGACAAGACCCGGTCTGAAACTCAGAAACTGGGCCCCGTAAAATAGTATAAATTTATGGCGTTGTAACTTGCAGTAGCGCGCGGCCGCCGCACAGGAGATTTAGATTTATGCCGTTGTTTATCAGTTGATAGAATTATGATGATTTAAATTACTAACTGTTGACCGAAAGTAAGACAGGTCGTGAGAATGTAAAACTAACATCACATACAAGGTTTATTTTCGCAAATAGATTGAAATAGATAATACTATAAGCTGTGTAAAATCCGGATTGGAGTATTATTTATGAGTCGCATTGTTGTAATGTATTCTGTGTAAAAATGCTCTTATTAGGGAAAGGAGATTACTCGACGTTTCAATGTAACTACATCATATTCATGATCTCAAATTATTTGTTATATAGTAGTGTTGAAAGTATATATCGAAAAATCTCCTTTCCCTAATAAGAGCATTTTTACTTGTCGCAACAACGGGGATAAAGATAATTTTACACAGAATACACTATAAGCTGTGTCATAAAAGTTAAGATAAAATTTCAAACAGTAACTCAGAAACACACGGAAAGACATCCATCCTAAATTAAATCTGATTTTCAGAGAAAAGTCAATCATTCTACTATTTAATAGATGACAATTAACACTATAGCTTGAATAATTTACAATCACTGCTCATCATCATGCCTGCTCACGTCTCCCAATTACGGCTGTTAATTATAATATCTAATCATAATTAAGTATCAACATTTTTACAATAATCTCAAACTTCATTATTTATCTGACTGTTTGTACTGTGTAGTAATTCTTGTGCACTTTAAGAGCGGTTATTAATATTAATCGGTCTCAGATACTAGGCGACTTGTCATTAATTTCAGTAGCGCTCATGGTGTTGTCCGGTACTTTATGTTTCGTTGAAATTATTGTTTGATTCATGAACTTTAAACTATAAAAGTTAAATGCGGCATTATAATAATATGTGAACATTAGAAATCTGGCCGACTGAGTTCTTTTATTGAGCACCCAAATGTTTATCTGTAGACTTGTAATTGTTAACAATATGCCAAATTAAACTGATGAGTTGCCCTTGTTTGAGTACTTTGCTCTACAATGCTCATAATTAAGGCAGGCTGTAACTAGGGCCTGCCACTCCCCTGTCTGGTCGTGTAATCGCCTTTCGATGGAGTATGCTTGGACACATCCTTAGAGGAATGGAAGACTCTCCAGCTTATTTTTCAATCTTATTTGGTATTAATGCTGACGTAAAGGGAGGCTTCAGGCTTGGTAGTCTTAGTATAAATTTACTTTACATGATTATAAATTACTTAAAACGAAAGGAAATTTTAAATCCTCTACTTTCAATGTCAGATTTTGAATATTTGACAATGAGAGCTGCATTGCTCTTGATAGAGTTACATGGAAGTTTTTTGAGAAAATTTAGTTTTATCTTTTGAGGACTTTTTTATGTTTTGAGACAGCTACCAATAAAGTTTTTAGGATTGCTGTTTTTAGATATTTTGAATTTGAACTTGATATGGTTTATATTTTATAATTATAATAAGTAACTTGGGCCGCGGATGAGGTAGGTCATGGAATCTAAAATAAATCATAGACCATTATGAAATATTTTATGGACAAGGTGCTTGTGTTAAGGACTTTGTGTTTGTGTTATTTTAAGTTGACCAAGTTGATCGATATCAATCTTGAAAGAAAAAGATAGCGCGTTTCTCTCAGCAGGAAGTTCTTTTCTTTCCGTCTTTTCCATTATCTGGTGTATCTTTTGAATAGTTTCGGGATGAAAACTCTTTGAAGGCATGTTTTGGAAACGTCTCAGACGTCTGATGGGGCTAGGAACGTGTTCTTTAAGGAAGGGCACGTTGTTAAAAATCCAACGGACTACAGTTAAAGACCTCCCAGCGTTAAAAATATGTCGTATCGTGAGAACATTCATTGCCGCCTCCGCACCTCGCCGAATCTTCTTAATATCCTCAATCGCCAAACCGGTGGCAAGATTGAGAAATAGCACTTGCACAAGGATTGCAAAAGCTATCAGACCAATTAGAGTGGCTTCCGGGAAGGTCAGTCCATAGTCCTCGGCTTTGTAGTCCTCGTAAGCCACCCCGGACACTCCCTGTGACAAGGTCTTGTAGATAGCCTGGCCACTCACTGCTTCTTCGTATATATCCGTGTGACTCAGCAACATGTGGAATATTATTACAAACGCTATCACGAAGAATGTCAAAAGGGCTAATATCTTGGAGATGAATGTCCAGAGAATCCTAAAGAACATGGTGATATAGACTCCGATGAGTGGAACTATCTGGAATAAAATGAGGAGGTTCATGAAGCTGGTTAAAACACAGAGGGTCCCTAGTTGCCAGTGCAGAGAGGATATCACCCCTTTTTCTAGAACATTTAGAGAGAACAATACGGATGTGCCGTATAGGGTGACCTCCAACAAATTCTCAGTGTGCCCAAAATAGTTACCCACGCCAACTACCCATGTCCTCAAGTACCTAAGAACGTGTTGTGGCAATGAATGATCGAACTCGAAGGAAACATTTTGATTTTTCGAATGAGACTCGACAAAAATCTGATTGAATAGATCCAACATCTCAAGGAAAAGCCGAAGACCAGACATTATCAAGACAAAATATCCTGTAGTAAAGTTTGCCGTTGACTTCTTTTTAAAGCACCCATCAGGATATTCTTCACAAGAGTGGCTAGAGTTTGCTATCCAGGTCCGAACTATTGTCCCATCTTCCAGACGGACAAATGGTTTGATCAGGGTAAACTGATAAACCATCAGCATGCTGAAGAAGAGAAGATAAAAAAGAAAGGTGACTGAATAGAAGTAGAATTTAGCAAATTGTTCCCACTTTTTCGTGATCAAAGCGTATACAACAGGATGCATTAGCAATTCATGTCGGTTTGTTCTAGCTAGGACTTGAAGTGGGTTAAGACCGTGCCTATAGTGCCGTAGCTTGGCAGGTGGTCCCGCATCTTCTACTGTAGAGCTATCATCAGTTGTATTACCATCCTTTCGTTTAGGATGGTAAGCTAGAACCCCAAAGTCAACTATGACTCGATGAATATCACCTTTATCTTTCAATCTATTTGTGGTATCTTCCGGGCACCCATCCTCCGCCAAACTAATTGATTTATCAAGGAGTTGTTCAACTAGATCCGGCATTTTTCTGAGAAGCACGTCAATAAGGCTTTTGTCGCGGTCATTTTTCTTGTGATAATCTATAATAGGTTCATATTGTTCAACAAATGTTTTCACCATTTCTGGTTGCAATTTGCAGAATCCGAGACGGATTGAACCTGGAACTTTTATTCCAGAGAAAATTATGCCTAAATCGTGGCTCAAGGTCTGAACACTTTCAGTTTTTTCGTAGCGAAGCTGTTCTACTTTTTCTTCCAACTCATTTCGATCAACCCTGAGTGTTTTAACGAAATTAATAATGGCAATACAGGATTTCTTATGAAAACAGGAAGCTGCATAAGAGATAGGTGTCTCTTTATCCTTCTCATCCGGTAAATTTATGAGATCTGTCATGAGGTTACTTTTATCTGATCGTTCTGCAGCAAGAAGAATAACCCTCACAGTTTCTGGTTGGTCCCATTTTGAAGCTTCAAAGAGTGGATTGTCCCCTTTCTTATTTTTTACCATCGCAACAAGTTTTTGGATAATATCGTCTCTAGCACAGAACTCTTTAACTGTATCTACTTTTCCAAGAGCCGCTGCTTTCTTCAGTTCCAACATATCATCATCAAGCGAGTCTTTCAAGGGAGTTTTTATATGATCTGATGATGAAAAATTTGGTCGATCCTTCTTAAAGGTTAATGCTGTGGAGCTTGGATTAACGATAAGTTCGAAAGGCTTGTCATCAAGGTCTACTTCTTTGCTTTCGATACAAAGGGGATCAATCCCATCAATCTCCACATCCATTGGCCCCTAAAAGGTATTAACTGAGTAACTCTGGAGATGAAGGACGCTTCTGATACCTAAAACATGATGGTTTGCATCAGTGATATCCGGCATCAGTATCCGGTTTGGAAAGTATTTGAGTACTTGGCCCGGTTATCAAAAACCCCAGACCGGTCGGTTTCTAAACCAAACTTATAAGGAGCTCTAAGGTTATCGATTCGGATTAGAATTACGCCCATTTGACCAATCAGTGATTGATCGTTACAATAAAAATATAAAATTTCACCTCTCAATATTTCACCCCTAACCATTATAGCATTATATTTAAGCAAGGTCTTACAATTTGGGGATGATTTCCCATAAAATTAAAAAGAATCGCTGCTCATTCAAAAGTCAGATCAATTTATCAGTACCTGTAACAAAGATTATTGTAATTTTCAGAGACTAGCGAGTAAACCGATCAAAGCAAAGACAATAGCTGGACTTAATACAGTCATACTAACCACACGAAGGTAGGTGCCGAAAAACAATGTAGACATTCTATGAGTTATAATGAGTGTAGAACACATAACCGGTATTTGTTTACCAGTCGAGACTGCAGTCGTGTTAAACTACATCACTTAATCAGGAGGCAGGTTAGCGATGCAGAGAGACACGTTAAAATCACGAAATAACAGTGCACAAATCAAAAATCAAGGTTTAGGGTCTTGAAGGAAATATAAGTTAAGACCTTCATGGTTTTTCATCTTAGGTTTAATCTGCAGTCATCAGAGGGGGCCTTTCTTCCCGAATTTTAGGTCTGGTTTGATAGCAAAGTGTACCATATCCCGGCCAACTGAACGTTAACAAATATTTGGGGTACGAAAAGCTGCTAGTGCTGGGGCGCGAAAAAGCTGTAAAGTGGGCACCAAAACTCTTTTTTTAGAACATAAGAAACTTTTTGTAGGGGCGCCAAAATATTTTAAAGGGCGTCAAATGGTAATGCTACGCCACTGATACATTTTAGACTTTGTACTGACCATTTAGCTTTCTCTCTCTCTCTCTCTCTCTCTCTCTCTCTCTCTCTCTCTCTCTCTCTCTCTCTCTCTCTCTCTCTGTTCTGGTCAACGGTTTCTGGCCTCCTACTTTAAGAGGGAGGTCTTATCACCGTGCCCACAGAATGCAACTCCTGCTAGCTGCACGCCAGGACTCCCAGGACTACCATTTAGCTAACCACTAACGTTTGAATTACCAAAAAAAAAGATCGGAGCAACAAAGTTAATTATGGGCATGACCCAGGGGCTACGTTCAATATTCGCTCTCCAGTGCAAGGGTATCTTCGCTTCTGAAGGTCCTAAAGACTTCTTGGTGAACTTGAACGAACCCGAATTTGCATATTTATAGACAAGTTATCGATAAACATCTGGAACATCTAAGTTCTACTCGATGTGAATACCTAGTGAGTTGAGATGGTCTGAGATGTTCAGAACGACCCTGGAGTTAAAAATGGTGCTTTTAAGCACCATTCCTGTATTGTTACCATGTAACGTCGAGCTAACATGAAGTTGAATCCAAATTTTGCGTAATGCATTCCTTAAAAGTTGAATATATGTCCTATTTGCATCCACGAAGAGTTCCCATTGTATTGTTGTTTATTCCTGGTCCGGTTAGCTTTGCGTCTCAGAACTAAAGAGGTCCGCTATGCTTTAATGAGTTATACTGTCCACCAGGGTACTGTTCATCTAAGTGTTCCCCTTGTAATGGGACAGTCTGTGATAAAGCTTCTCTGCAGGATGTCTGAGATGAACTGTTTTCGAGCGTTGAGATCTTCCGCTGTAGAAACTGATTAGAACCAGGGTGTCAGTAAAACTCTGCTGCTACTAGATGATTGTAGAGCGTCCAGTCACACTTCGATGAATAAATTGGCAAAGCTGACCCGGTCCCCTAGTCCTAGGTTAAATGTGATGGCCTCAAGATGAGCTCTTTTTGCGTTAGCTGTCTAGCTGAGAAGACCTGAAAAGTGGTTACTGGAAGAAGAAGTGCCAGGAATTCTCGCTATCAGTGTGTCCTCGTAGTCAGAGTGAGAGAGTTGAAATCCCTAACTCTGTCTTATCACGAGCCTGTTTCTAGCGTGTTTCAGCCCTTGTGCATTAGCTGTCTTAACTGAAAAGACCTGTCTTAACTGAAAAGACCTGTTGTGTAACAAGCCTGAAGTCCTCAGGTAACATTGTGTTACAGACCTGAATTCCTCAGGTAACGTTGTGTTACAGGCCTGAAGTCCTCAAGTAACGTTGTGCTGCAAGCCTGAAGTCCTCAGGTAACGTTGTGTTACAAGCCTGAAGTCCTCAGGTAACGTTGTGATACAAGCCTGAAGTCCTCAGGTAACGTTGTGTTACAAGCCTGAAGTCCTCAGGTAACGTTGTGTTACAAGCCTGAAGTCCTCAGGTAACGTTGTGTTACAAGCCTGAAGTTCTCAAGTAACGTTGTGTTACAGGCCTGAAGTCCTCAGGTAACGTTGTGTTACAAGCCTGAAGTCCTCAGGTAACATTGTGTTACAGGCCTGAAGTCCTCAGGTAACGTTGTGTTACAAGCCTAAGGTCATCAGGTAACGTTGTGTTATAAGCCTAAGGTCATCAGGTAACGTTGTGTTACAATCCTGAAGTCCTCAGGTAACGTTGTGTTACAGGCCTGAAGTCCTCAGGTAACATTGTGTTACAAGCCTAAGGTCATCAGGTAACGTTGTGTTACAAGCCTAAGGTCATCAGGTAACGTTGTGTTACAAGCCTGAAGTCCCCATGTAACGCTGTGTTACAAGCCTGAAGTCCTCAGGTTACATTGTGTTACAAGCCTAAGGTCATCAGGTAACGTTGTGTTACAAGCCTAAGGTCATCAGGTAACGTTGTGTTACAAGCCTGAAGTCCTCAGGTAACATTGTGTTACAAGCCTGAAGTCCTCAGGTAACGTTGTGTTACAAGCCTGAAGTCCTCAGGTAACGTTGTGTTACAGGCCTGAAGTCATCAGGTAACGTTGTGTTACAAGCCTGAAGTCCTCAGGTAACGTTGTGTTACAGGCCTGAAGTCATCAGGTAACGTTGTGTTACAGGCCTGAAGTCATCAGGTAACTTTGTGTTACAGGCCTGAAGTCATCAGGTAACGTTGTGTTACAGGCCTGAAGTCCTCAGGTAACGTTGTGTTACAAGCCTGAAGTCCTCAGGTAACGTTGTGTTACAGGCCTGAAGTCCTCAAGTAACGTTGTGTTACAAGCCTGAAGTCCTCAGGTAACGTTGTGTTACAAGCCTAAGGTCATCGGGTAACGTTGTGATACAAGCCTGAAGTCCTCAGGTAACGCTGTGTTACAAGCCTGAAGTCCTCAGGTAACGTTGTGTTACAGGCCTCAAGTCCTCAGGTAACGTTGTGTTACAAGCCTGAAGTCCTCAGGTAACGTTGTGTTACAGGCCTGAAGTCCTCAAGTAACGTTGTGTTACAAGCCTGAAGTCCTCAGGTAACGTTGTGTTACAAGCCTAAGGTCATCAGGTAACGTTGTGATACAAGCCTGAAGTCCTCAGGTAACGCTGTGTTACAAGCCTGAAGTCCTCAGGTAACGTTGTGTTACAGGCCTGAAGTCCTCAAGTAACCCTGTGTTACAGGCCTGAAGTCCTCAGGTAACGTTGTGCTACAAGCCTGAAGTCCTCAGGTAACGTTGTGTTACAAGCCTGAAGTCATCAGGTAACGTTGTGTTACAAGCCTGAAGTCCTCAGGTAACGTTGTGTTACAAGCCTGAAGTCCTCAGGTAACGTTGTGTGACAAGCCTAAGGTCATCAGGTAACGTTGTGTTACAGGCCTGAAGTCCTCAGGTAACATTGTGTTACAAGCCTGAAGTCCTCAGGTAACGTTGTGTTACAAGCCCGAAGTCCCCATGTAACGTTGTGTTACAGGCCTGAAGTCCTCAGGTAACGTTGTGTTACAAGCCTGAAGTCCTCAGGTAACGTGTGATACAAGCCTGAAGTCCCCATGTAACGTTGTGTTACAGGCCTGAAGTCCCCATGTAACGTTGTGTTACAAGCCTGAAGTCCTCAGGTAACGTTGTGTTACAAGCCTGAAGTCCTCAGGTAACGTTGTGTTACAAGCCTGAAGTCCTCAGATAACACTGTCTGACCAGTTAGACGAGACAAAATCACGACAGAAATGAATATAAAGGCCATTGCCTCTAAACCACAACGTCGCCGTCTGCTCTACATCAAGCTCTTATCCTCTTGTAAACATATTAAGCCAGATTTGAAATTGAATAACTTAGGCTACTCTAACCGACTAGTCATACCATTTACAGGATCCCGACCGGCTACTTAATTATTTCGTTCTTTACTCAAGCATACGCGGATTTACGTTTACCATTTTAAATATGAATAACATATTACTACATATTATTATACATTATATGGCATATATATATTATATGGCAGTGCCTCGAGTTTTCGTTTTTAATTTTATAATTATCTAACGTTTGTATGGTTTGTTGTTCATTTACTTTGTATCACTTGGTTATTTATTAAAATTGAGTGCAGTATAAGATCAAGATATGGTGAAGACTGAAGATGTCTAGTAAAATGGTGTATTAATGAACTAAGTAGTAAAGTAAGTAAGTAAGTAAAGAGTCATTCAACTTAATTAGCTTGAATCAGAAAATTTAATTGAATAAAACTGTTAATAGGGTGGACATATTCCCAGGGCCTAAAAATATTTAACTTCACCTGGGCGTCCACGACTTTTGTCTGTGATTACTACTCCTTAGTCCTTTCATTACATAATCACTGTACCGTGCAAACCGTTTGCACAAAATTAGCCTGCATAAACGACACTGTTTAAACGACACTGTTTAAACGACACTGTTTAAACGACACTGTTTCGTCATTCTGCCCAATATATCAGTGAAACGCCATGCAATTCACGTACCACTAACCTTCATTATTTCGTTTTAGGTCGCCGATGATTTACCCCTGCATGCTGCAGACTCAATTATACAAATATTTGTGTCCTCTATTTATGTAATAAAGCTTTCCATAAGAGCCGTGCACCGAGACTGCATTTAGATGGGCGCAGCGGCGGTTTGGAACTT